CATACTGCATGTGAAGTAGCGTTGATGCGAAAGGTGTTTTTGCTTCAGATTATTGGGTGCAGAATGCACTGTCGCACCTATTCGTAATTTATTGTGGTGCAGCTGCAGCTGCATCCACTGCACCCATGTTCCTATACGCTTCTTGTACTTGTAAGCCTGAGAGTGTTTAGAATGACGTCGTTAAAAAAACGCCTTTCAATTTTCAGTTTCTAGGCAATGGGGGGGGGGGTCGCAAAATTGACGTGGCCTTGGGCTACCGATATCGAAATTATGTGATATACATTTTGTGCATTGTTAGCACCGGCGCTGCAGGCCGGGCCGCCGGGACCACCGAGCGGGCCATGCGGCGGCCGGCCGACCACGTGGCGCTCGGGCTTGCCGGCACTGAGCTGGCTCATTGTAAGCGGCCCTGTGATGGTTGTGTGGCTCCTGCCCTCGGGGCGCCGGCGAGGTGACCTCGGTCGGCGCACGGGCTCGAGGGTGTTCGTTCTGGATGCTCGGCGGGGAAGTGCTCGCTGTGTGGGTGGAAGTGGTGCGCTGGCTGTGGTGTGGTGGTGGTGCACAATACAGCAAGTGAAAATATCTTAACTGGTGTGGAGAGGAGCTGGACCAGTGGAAAAGGGGACGGGACAGTGAACAGCAGCGGGTCTTCATAGCGTGCGAGTAGCCGATCATTTCCTTTCATCCGGGACTCATAACACGGCCTTTTCCGGGGTGTGTGAGGGAGGCGGCCACAGTGTCTCGCCATCGAGTCACTGAGCTTAAACTCGTTCCCCGGGTCTTGCCATCGAGGCTCGGGTGCGGAGTCTCCGCTCAGACAGGGGTGCGACCAGTCGGCTCCGGCTAACCTTGCCATCGAGGCGCCGGAGTATCGGTTGATCTGTCCGATTACAGTGGTCTCGCCATCGAGAGGCTGGAATCGGGCAGCGGCTGGCGTCTTCCTCACCATCCTTATCTACCCATCGCTCTCCTACAGTCCTTGTCTATCATCCGGCTAAATAAGTGTCGTTGGCGTGTGAAATACCAGAGGACACATGGCGACATGCATACTGATACTCTCTTGAATTGCTGAAAGTTCCAAAGCCATCCGTTACCTGGTGTAGCAATGATAAGCATTGGAACATTTTCTGAATTGGTCACACTGACCACCTCACCAGGTTACCTGACCTGGTGACCTGATCTTGAGAGACCTTGGTCCTGAAATTTTCATAGCATGTGTAAAAAAGGTGCTTGATAAGGTGTGACAAAAACAGTGGCGCGAAACGTCACCTTTTTTGAGATATTAGCGAAAATCTGCAGGTGGTGTTCTAACACCGCTCCCCTAGCAGGGTGCGGCTATGAAGCATGATGAACAGGTTTTACAAAAGATCATAAGATGAAATAAATACGTGCATATATCTCGCATAATTAACCGCTATTCAATCCTTTCACGTGGAAAATATGAGCATATCGACACTGAAATACTATTGAGCGATTACATTCCTTCCTTTCCATTAGGAGTACCGAAATATGAATCGTTGGAAACATGCATCAGTATCACCACATCGTCACGTGCTGAAGCCGAAAAACTGATTGTCGATCCAAACTTTTGGGTTGGACAAGTCGCTTCGCTTTTTCGCTTTTTCGATTTTTAGAGTCGCTTTTTCGCTTTTTAGAGTCGTTTTTTTCGTTTTTTCGCGTCGCTTTTTCGAGTTGCTGATTTCGTTTTTTCGGTTTCGCTGCCGTGGAGCTACACCAATGTTATCAAGTGAAGCTGATCGTCTACTGAAGCCGAAAAAGCGAAAAAACGAAACGAAAACCGAAAAAGTGTGCCGTGGAGCCTGTACTTTACGCTTTGCTTGTACTGTCTGGTTGAATGCGCAGAGCTGTTGTCGACTTAAACGATATGCAGTTACATTTAATGACTTAATTATCCTGCGACCCAACACTTATGGGACAAGTTCTAATAACGAGCACTTGTGCGCCTGCAGCTTCTCTGGAAATGTTAGAGAAGAAAGTTAGTTACAACTACCGGTAAAACGTTCAACAAAAACGATATCCCATAGCCATGCAGTTTGTAAGTATGGTTCGTAATTGGTGTAAATAAGCCTTCCCTTCACAGAATATGAATTTAATTTACAAGATATGAGTTCTTGTCTCTCCGATGTGCATGAGTAGGACAGACTCATTGTGCATTGGTATTCCTTTTTAACCTAAGCCACAGACCCTAAGCTTAACCACTTTTTTCTCAGCTGTCCCTCTCTCAAACCCCTCTCCTCAGTAAACTACATACTTGCTTGGAAGAGAGTCGTTATATTAAAAGCCTGACTTTCTGGAATACTTTGCTAGTGGTCGTCAACTAAATGGTCATAAAATGGTGACCAAAGAGGTGAGCCATGCTTCTAGATATCGAGATCGGGATGCACTAGGTCTATGAGTGACATCAAATAGTTCTAACTGAGAAAAACAACTTCGAAATATGCCTGCCGCTTTGCTGCTATACAACCTCTGTTTATGACATTCTCACGTGTCTTTTGACATTGGCTCGAAGTTAGATATGACTGAAAAACTCAACAGAGAGTCAATATTTTTTCCAGTGATTTTCTCTCATCCTCCCTGCGTTTTATTCATCGCGGCGGCGTTTAATATCACTGACGTCGCCATCTGCACTGCCGGGCGCCGGCCGTTGAATTCCTCCAAAGTCTGACAGAAGCGTCGTCCCGCTCCCGCCAGCGGGCTGCCTGCTCTCGACGCGTGCCTGCAGATATCTTTACATCTCAAGAATGAAATCATTTTCCACGCAGCTAGCCAGAGCTCTCCGTTTCTCTCGGTAGATAAATGCGGACGCCGCCGGGGAACTGGAGTGCGCGCAACCGAGCTGAAGTGGAGGCCAGTCGGAAGTTGGCACTCGGTACCGGCCTGCTCCCGTGGCCCACCGCTCGCCTCATTGGCCAGTCGAACGAGCCAGCCTCAACGGGGCAATGCGACGCTTACGACCACCGTGGGGTGTGCTCCGTGCAGTGGAGGGGCTCCCGTGCCGTCAGGAGCCTGAGAAATCGCCAGCACTGCAACTTTTCCGCACAGTCGGAGGTGCTCCGTGATGCTATCGTGCAGAACACGGGGTCACGACAGCAGGCCGGATGGCAGGCATTGGGCGTTCGTTGCAATGCTGTGAGCTGTGATTGAAGCATGATAGAAAGGCTCATATGCGAACTTCTTCATTCGTATTCTGCAAATTATTTTGAGAGAGACAGAGAGAGAGAGAGAGAGAGAGAGAGAGAGAGAGAGAGAGAGAGAGAGAGAGAGAGAGAGAGAGAGAGAGGGAGAGAGGGAGAGAGATAAAGAAAGAGAGAGAGAGGGAGAGAAAAAGATAAAGAGAGTGAGAGAGAGAGAGAGAGAGAGAGAGAGAGAGAGAGAGAGAGAGAGAGAGAGAGAGAGAGAGAGAGAGAGAGAGAGAGAGAGAGAGAGAGAGAGAGAGAGAGAGAGAGAGAGAGAGAGAGAGAGAGAGAGAATCACAGACCCGTGAAAGAATAGGATAAATAGAAACTTTAGTGACCGTTCAGAACGTTACACCACTATAATTATACTTATTATAATTACTATCTCAGGCTGTGAGCGAAAACTGGCATATGTATGCCTAAATAGCTATGTCGTCCCCTCCACCCAGAGCTCTGTGCGTGTGCACTCAGGTGCAGTCTACATCTCAGTCTTCACTAGTCAAAACTCAAAAGTGGTCATGTGTTGCCGGAATTAGCGAGACAATGTTCTATGCAGGTGACCGTGGCGGACGGGCACCCACCGACCGGAGCTAACGATCTCCGTCGGCCCCAATCCCGCGATGCCGAATTCAGGCCTGCTTAGCCGTTATCGCCGTAAGCTGCAACACGTGGAGACGTTCATTTGGTACGACAGATCCATTTATCATCGACTCGTACCGAGACCAGCTCAGAAGGGGTCACCAAGTCTAATACAGATCAATTTCGCAAATACTCTGGTTTAACCCTCATCTCTAAACATCTCCTAGGTATAAGTACATGGATTTTGTCAAGAATACATCCATGTTTTTATATACTTGTTCCTCCTGTTCTTTCTATGACGTCACAAGATCTGGACGTATTAAATCGGTGTTGTGTTAAGGAGTTGTGATGTGAAATGCACTGGTGGATGCAGAAAGACGGTCTTGGACGCTGCGGGGGGGGGGGGGGCATACCTCCCCCCAGAAAGTTTCTCCAAATTCCATAAAAGCTGTTTTTAGCTTTTTACTCTCGAAAAACCAATTGATCTGTCGCCAAGAAGAGGTCGGATCTGTCGGCTGGTCGTGTGGTTGGACATCGATCTGGTCTTATTTAGATACCTATGACATTCTGCTGCACTCAGGTCAGCAGGGCTTAGTTCGTTTGTGATATCCAGCATTTATTAGTCCACAGAATTTCATTTCGGTCGACCTCATCCACGGAGAGCAAAATCTCGGTCACAAACCGTGAGCAAAACCGGAATTTGTCAAAGAAGATTTGAAACCAACACTAAAGTACACCGTCCTGTCCTTCACTCACCATTGTACAACAAGACAGATCACGTCGAGTGAACGCTAACATGAGCACACATAACATGGTAGCCTGCCTTCAGCAGGCGTTATCCTTCAACTCACATCAACATTCAAATATGAACATGAACCTGGATATAAGATATTTAATCTGTCATCTGACGCTCCAACAATCACATACGAGAGTCTACAACGTCCAGTGGCGACACCATCATGCGGGCTATAGGTCCATATGTAGCCACCGGGTAAACAAACACATCTGTTATCCTTTGTGCAGTTCTGTCTGCTGTCGAACTGCCAGCCATCGAAATCACACAACTCTCCCTTCAAATTAGGCCGGTGATTTATTTTGACATGCTCTATCCTTGTAAGGCATTAGTAATTTAGTGGCGTCGAACAAAGCACCGTCGGACTTTTTGGCGACAGAGACAGATGCAGCCATTCACGAGCCCATCTCGGTGTCTGGCTCAGGGTCGCAGGCCCATCCGCAACTCGGTTACACAGTTCTCCCCAGTGCCCAGGGGATCGAGCGACCGCGTCTGGAACCGTCCTTCTCAGACTCACGACTCGTCCCCCCCAGACTCGCAGCACGATAGACTCACGAGTCACGACTCGTCCCCCGCAGACTCGCGGCACGATAGACTCACGACTCGTCCCCCGCAGACTCGCGGCACGGTGCTCACGACTCGTCCTGCGCAGACACACATTCTCCATCACGGAAGTCTTCACCAAGATAGACAGGTGAGATCGGTGGCGAAATTCACACATTTCGCTATTCAGCATTTGTCGAACGTGACCGACGTTCGATCGGGTGTCCGCTCCACGTCCGCCTGAAACAAAGAAAATGGGCAATGCTGTCAGCAACTTGAACAATCCCATAATCAGGTAAGTTGGTTATTGCCATCTACCTAACTATCAAGCACAAAATCTAAAAATAAAACAACAGCAGGGTATGAGGTTCACGGTGTCACAGGCAGCGTGTGTGCATTTAGTGAGAAGTGCGTGAGCTGTTCGCCTGTACCTATGTCGTCATCGCAGACAAACGTCAACCACTGCACTGGCTGTCCGATTTCATGTCACACCGATCCCCGTAGTCATTCAGTCATTCGGCACCGAGAGAGATCTTTGTTCCACTACATGAGCTAGCGAAAGGAGGAATTAGTTTCATTTGTGTGCCGTAATAAACAAGGCGTCCGTCTCGTAACTCGTTGGCAGCGAGTTCGCAGCCGGAGAGCAGTACGTCCTTTGACCCACGTTCCTATAGATGGCAACAGATAAGAGAGGGCCAAGCTAGACCCGAGAATATTGCGCCGCATCTTACTGCGGTACATACCAACGGCGGCTGAAATAATTACCGGTGAACTGGTTATGGGCAGTGTCGACTGGTCGGTCCGTAATGTCATTCGCCAAGTACCCACTCAGCCATTCGGACAAAACTTCTTAAAAAAAATATTTACATCTATCGCATTTATATCATGATTTGCATTAACTCTAGGAGAATTATGTTGTTAAGTTAGGCTTCAATCCATGTTTTTTTCTAGTTCTATGATTGCAATCGTACGCTTGCAGATTCGGACAAATGCGCCCAGTCCCTGCAGCAACCGAAATCGACGAAAATTTGCGTTTTTTATAACAAAACGAAACCCAAACAACTTTTAATCGGAAAAGACCAAATAACTGCCAGCGTGAACAATAGTGAGTGCAAGTAGCTCGTTTCCGCGGCAGTGTTTTTTACATGTTTACTCACGCAATCCTGTTTATTACATCGTGAAAGTAAGTCATTACCCCTTACGCTGAGGCTGATAGAAAAAAACGAGCTTGGGCTTTTAGCTTAATGAATTGTAGTTGACCTCCGGTACTTTTGACCGCGCCCTTCGGCCTCCAATTCTGTCCCGGCAGGGTGAGTTTGTTTGAGTGGACTAGGGGTCAGGCGTTGACTTAGCCCAACTTCTTACAGTTGAAGTTGAGAACTGAGATGACCTGCCGACTTCTTCTAAGTCTCTGGCAGAAGCTACAGTTAGCGCGCAAATTGGAAAACACCGCAATGGGTTGCACAAGATGACCTTATCAGGTGAAAAAGTGATGAGAACAGAAATGGACTTTTGATAGGGTGCTTACGGAAGTTTTCGCACGATAAATTGTTTAAGGAATTCCATGGTAAACACAAGACATGTCAGGAAAGAATTAAATGGCAAAGATATGCGTTACTCTCTGTAGCTTGAGGTAAAATTGGTGACATTTTGGAGCGGCAAAATGCTTTGCATTCGAGCTATTCTGACACAGTAGGCCATGCTGAATGCTTAGCGCCCCCGTCGACAACACTCGTATTTCACCGCGACTCCCAAATATCTGAATATTGCTGTTTTTCACAAACACAGCCGTTTCTTTGACATTCTCGATGCGTGTCTCTGTCACATACAGATCTCCTCATTCCAGTGCGGCGCTCCGTACCCGGACTCGCACCCTTCTGGCACGGATCAGCGACCGATCCCGGCGCGGCCTGCGCCCCTGAGTCAGCGTCGCTCCTCTGCCGCGGCCAGCAAACGACCGAGCCAGATCGGCGCCTGCCGATATTGCCGATCGCAGCTATGGATCGGCCATGGCCGGCTGGCCTTAATGAGACGGCCACAGACAGCCGGTTAAAATATAGGCGGCTTACCGACCGCCGCCCATGCCATTGCCGACGGAGGATAGTGATGCACAAAGGTAGCGCAGCCCTTTGTGCATCTGAATTAGATGTTAATGCGAGCTCTGTACTCACGCGAGAACCAAACCCTTGTTTTGAACCATAAGTGTTTCGTGCCTCCTAAAACAGCTCCACACTGCGTCACAATTGACCCTTGCGTCATGATTGGCTGTCTGGCACGGAGTGACATGCAGGCAGGTCCGGTGGGGCGAGTCGGACCCGCCACGGTCAAAGTGAGGGTGGTGTGGGTGGGGCTCTTTGATTGGTCGGGGGCGGTGCGGACGGTCCGATTCATCGACTTCCGATAGGTCGGTCGGACGGCTGGCTTCCGAAGCCCATTCGACGGGGAAGCCACTTTGGCTGAGAAGGCGCTGAAGGATTGAAGCATCGTTCATGGTCAAGCGTTTCTCAGAAATTCGAGGTTTCGTTGCTAGCTTCGGGTGCGATGAAGCTTATACACAACAAAATTGGAAATGACTCTAAATTGCATGACAATGAAAAAGCATGGCTAATGGTTATGAATCCTGGGGGTGATGCACACGCCAAACATAAGCTAAGTAATGATTTTGTTCCCCTATTTTCGCCTATTCTCGGCATCTACGTAAAGTTCAACTGTGCTGTGGTTGGAGTTTCTTGTCTCCTTTCTGTGCGCGGTCGATGGCGGCACAGTCGGATGTCTCGCGTCGGTAATTGTATGTCCTGGTTTCTGCCACCGTGCCGGGGTATTAATGGAGACTTACGACTTCCTCCGCAAATCCAACACAGCCCGTCGTAAACGGCCGGAAAATAAGCCCACGGCAGTGACGAATGGTCCAGTTACCACAGCTAATTTGAAGTAGATGAAGTGCGCACAATTTTTATTTGGGGAATTTATCTTGTGTGGTATTTCTCCGAGGCTGTTTTCGTGGCGGAGAACTATCATGTTCGATGAAGTCGGACAGGGAAAGCTGAAAGGTTGAACTTCGACCTACCTAGCAAAATCACGAGCAGTTAGGAACGTCATGTTGATGTTACTTACTATACGGAACGATAAGCACTTAAAACTTTTGCATAAAAAGCGTATGTTTTAGTTACTTAAATTACTGTAGAAGCTGCTGGTTCCCTAAATTGATTTCATTGTTCGATGCTGAGTTACGTAAGAGCATTCATCAATCGCATTGGTTTGTATCGTGCCATCCAAATGCAGCATATGTAATTGCATTTTTGTCTTGCTTGTGAAGGGCTGGCATGATGTTTAAAATAACTTTAACTTCAAAAGTTAAGAAGTATGTAGCCGAAAGCAAAACAAAACTTACATAGTTTAGTCCATAACAAATATTCCCCTCCCCTGACATTTGTTTTCCCTTTGCTTGTTTCGACATTTGTTTTCCATTTGTTTTGTTTGACCTAAGCTTCTAGGGCAAGCCATTCTCGAATTTGTCACCCAGTCAGCTTCCACTCCACAACCACCACTCAAGCAGCATCCCATCACTCTCCCCCCTCTGCCGCCTACACAACCACCCCCTAGCCATCGCGTCGCCCCCGTCGCCACCACCGCGCCCGTCGCCGCCGATTCACCGCCGCAGCGCTCCGCTCCATCGCCGCTCCTCGTGGCGAAGCTAGAGAGAGAAAGAGAGTCGGAGAGAGCACGGCGCCGCGGTGCCTGGCACGGCGGCCGTAGCCATCAACTCACGAGAGCCACTCAGACCGCCAGCTCGACCACGGCACGCTGCTGCCGCCACACCCGAGCTCGGACCGGTGGCATCGCGGGCGAAACACGACGACAGACGGAGAGTCGCGAGCGACGGCAGCGGCGGCGGTCGACGACGGTCGGTCGGCGTCAATGGAGCGCAAAAATCGCCGGCTGCCGAGAGCACTGCGAGACCGCGGCTGCGATTGATGCCGCCGGCAACTGGGGTGCCGGCTGAAGCGGCGCCGGCTTCTCAAAGGAGGAAACAATGCAGGATGAGGGATGCTGTCGTGCATCGCAAGGCTGCCGCGGAAGCTAATTGTGTTGTTATGTAAATAGGTTTCTTGTGAAATGGTCTGTAAGCTAGACGTTATAATCAAATGCAGAAATTTTGCAGATTCAGACTGCTTAGCGATGCCAAGTAACCGATATGGAGACACAAAATAATAGGTACAGGGGATATTTGTTAACCATTGATACAACCATTTGAACCAAATACGACTTTATCTGAAACAAGGTCACGAATGCCAGCCGATTCAGCTGAAAAATGGCGTCTGGCCGGCGGGGCAGTCCATTCAGCGCGGTGTTAAATGGATCACGGCGTCCGTGACACCCCTCAGAGTGTAACCGTGTACTCGAGCGTGCCGGTCACGTTCAGTCAGTGCGATAACGGCAGCCGCGATGGGCCGGGTGATCCGGTGACGAGCTGAGGTTGGAGCTACACCAGGCCTTTGTGAGGTCGACCCGGTGCGGACAAAATCCGTCTTCCTCCGAGTGAGGTATGCGTTATGTATTTCTGTCTAATATTAGCATCTATCACGCCGAGCGCATAAAAATCGAGCTTCTCCTTCTGGCTTCTGCTAGCAGATAAATCAGTGGTCTTGTCGAGCCCTCTTTGCTAGTGGTCCGTCCATCTTCAGCCCTCCGTAGTCTCCAATTTCTCAGTCCTACCCTGGTCCAGCGTCCACTGCTCGCCCTGCCCGGCTGGGTGACGGTTTTGCAGTGGCACGGCCAGCACGGCCGGAACCCGGGCGCTTAATTAGGCCACGCTAAACGGTCCTCACGCCACATTAATTATCTGTCACCGGGGCTCGTTCGTGGCCAGACCGAAGAGAACGGGGATAATTGGCCGTTGGCAAAGACATCCCCGAGCATATTGCAGACGATGAGCCCGCGAGCTTGCGAGCCAGACAGGGGTTCTAGTTTTAATAATTAAACGTTGTGCTTATCGAAAATGAGATGGTGGTTAGGAAAACGACAGGAGCTACAAGGACCGACTGCATTAGTTTATGGTATGTAGGTTGTAAAGCCAGTAACGGTTGTGAAATGGACCGACGCTCAGTCAACAGTCAACCTGGTAGGGGAACAAGAAATTTGCGCAGTCATAAAAAGAAGGATTACTTGAAGCGTGAGAGAAAGAGAGAGGGAGAGAGCGAGATCAGCATAGAGCTAGAGAGAGAGAAAGGGAGAGAGAGAGAGAGAGAGTGAGTGAGTGAGTGAGTGAGTGAGTGAGTGAGTGAGTGAATGAGTGAGTGCGTGAGTGAGAGAGTGAGGAATGGGAGTGAGAGTGAGAGAGAGTGAGTGAGAGAGAGAGGGGGGGGGGTACCCGGAGCACATCAGCTTTCATGAGCGCTGTGGAGCAGCACCTTGACAGAGCTCCGCCTCTGGAGTTTCAGTCATGAGATGAGCAGGCCCAAATGGGCTGCCATGTGAAGAGTCTTTCATCACATCCTCCGGCAGTGAGACCCTCAGTGGCCGGGCTCTGACAGAGCCGGTGGCACAGATACCGTCCAATGACCCTTTCCGAGCAGAGCCCTCAGCTAGACGGGCTGTCCAAACGGCTGGACACTGGACAGCGCTCGCAGCACTGCATGTCGATACTGCGGCGGCACATCGACCATGAGGTGGCACCCACGCGTCCCCAACCAGCTGCAGAATGTTTGCACATCGTATTTGTTGTATGAATTGTCAAGAATATTGCCAGGACAGCTGCATCACGACAGAATATGTGTCAGTATTCTGGTACTGAATGTGCTGTCACAGACGTGGGCCTTCATGCAGCCCAGTAAATTCAGTCTACATTGAAGGCTCAGGGGGTATTATCGGCCATATATACTGCAACACAGAATGAGAACTGAGCCAGTCGGTACACAAATCCGCAGAGCTGTTTGATCGATTTTAGAGGTCTAAGATTACAGTAACATATCCTAAACGGTTGGGTGGTCCGGTTCGTTTATTCCAATAACAAATAATAAAAGTCAACGTTAATAGAAAAAAAATGTGATAAAACGTAAGCTATATCTGTACTTTAAACTTGGAATTAGAATAGAGATTGAAGCGGAAAATACCTCTTCAACGTCAATTTCAAAGCATTCTCACCATAAATATACCGCTTAGTATCACCCACCACAGCACTTTTATAGCTCATTTATTTTTTCAAGCATGCAACGGGACGCTAGGCACTGGTAACTTGAGACGAACTGTCATTGATTGCAGCATACAACGTACTTTCTGGTGTCGGAATCCAAAGTGTGTCTCTTCAATTGCGTGGAAGTAGCAGCAAACACATTTCACAAATCCTAGATTTCAGTACAGTTCAGCCCCCAAACCTGTTTTCTGGGTACATATTTATCAAGTTGACCAATCGGATTTGGGCTTGACATGCAGATACCTTAGCTCGAAGCTCAGACGGCGCAAATAGAGCAAAATTCTTAAACCAATTCTCGTTCCAGACCAGTGGCGGCGGAAGGTAATTTTGGATGGGGGTGCAAAGTTTTCTCAAGGGGCCCCTCTGGAGGTTTTGGGCCCCCTCATTTTTTGAGTGACTATTATTGAATTATGAAAAACGAAGATTTTGGAAAACTATCCCCATACACACAAGTTTTGTAGTTTTGAAATTGCAGCGTACCTACCTACCTACCTAGTACCTATCTCAAATAATGAAAGCATAAAGAAGCAAATGCAGCTAGTTTTTTATCGGCTAAGTAATCTGTTAGTTTAGCCATCTTCCGCAGCGTCTCAAACCACTTTTCTGGATCTGCAGTGGACCACTGAGGGCCCTACGAGACCGTTCCAAGAAGACTGTGTTTAGAAGCCCCTTGGAAACCGACCACATAGAGACTCCTCCAGAGGCCTACATGACTCCCGAGACTGAATGAGCCCTCCGATCAGGGTCGGTCCCTTGAAAGTTGCTGAAAGGTTTCAGAAGGCAGTATAAGCTCGAAAGTCTTTTGAGGGCTCTTAGAAACCGGCATCGGACCCCAAAAAGCCTGTATGGAGGCCCTCCAAAGCCGGGATGGAGGCCACAGGAGCCGTGGCTTAGCCTAAATAGCCGGTATGGAGGACTGAATAGAGGAAAGGGGTCTCAGTGGGGCCTTCAGGGGCAAGCGTTTGAGCCCCAAAAGTAGGTGTGGGGTCTTAGAGGCAGGTAGACCCCTGGGGTATGCACGAGGTCCCAGGAGCTCGCGTGTGAGCCCAAATATTCGGCTGGCGGCTACTAGAACCAGCATGGGGATTCTTAGAAGCCGCTTAGACCCACATTTCATGGGTCATGAGTCCCAAGAGTCGATGTAGGGGCCATAAAAGCCGGTGTAGGGCCCATGGCCCATAAGTTCCGAATTCTCAGAGGCCGGCGACGGGGCACCAATAGCAGATAAAGTGCCTCAACAAGTCGACAGGGGGCCTGAGAATCAGTGTAGAATTCCAGGAGCCTGCGTGAGCTCTCGGAGACCTAAGACCTTTGTATTTCGTAAGGTCCACAAATGTCGTTGGGTCCTCTGAATCTGAACTCTGCGGGGCCCTCAGAGGCCAGCATGTCTCCTGGCACCTGCCTGCGTTGAGTTGAGACCCTCCGAGGCCGTCGTAGGGTTCTTCAGAGGCCAGCATTGGCCCTTGAAGCCTTCGTTAGGCCCTAGAAGCCGTCAAGAGGGCCCTCAGAGGTCAGCATGGCCCCTGGAGCCTGCCTGCGTCGAGGCCCTCAGAGGCCGTCATGGGGCCCTCAGACGCCAGCGTGGGCCTTTGGAGCTTGCGTTGGGTCTTAGGGACCATCGTGAGGGCCCAGAGAGGTCGTCGTCAGGGCCCTCAGCCACTCAGGGACCGTCCTGGGGTCGTCAGAAGTTGTTGTGAGGGCCTTTAGAAGCTTTCGAGAGGATCATCAGAGGTCGTCATGAGGGTCCTTGTCCATAGTGAGGGTCTTCATGGGCCCTCAGATACCTTTTCAGGGCTCTCAGAGGCCTTGGTAAGACCGCTAGAGGCCATCGTTAGGGCCCTCAATAGACCGTTGCAGGGCCCTCAGATGCCAGCATAGCCCCTGCAGCCTGGTTGTGTTGGGGCCCTCAGAGGCCGTCGCTGGGCCGTCTGAAGCCAAATGGGCCCTCAGACTTGAGTTGGGTCTAGGGCTGTCACGAGTGTCCTCAGAGACCGTCGTAGAGGCCCTCAGAGGCCAGCGGGGTCCCTGGAGTCCTATGGGACCCTCAGCGGTCGTCATGAGGGCCCTTAGTGGTCGTTATAGGGCCCCAGGGGACAGAGGTCGTCGTGAGAGCCCTCAGAGATCATCGTAAGGGCCCTCAGAGGCCGTCATAGGGGCCCTCAGAGGCCAGCGTGGCCCCTGGAGTCTCCTTAGGGCCCTGGAGTTTCTGTGGGACCCTCAGCGGTCGTCATGAGGGCCCTTAGTGGCCGTTGTAGGGCCCCAGGGGACAGAGGTCGTCGTGGGAGCCCTCAGATATCGTCATAAAAGGGCCCTCTGAGGCCGTCGTGGGGGCCCTCAGATGCCGCATGGAGCACCAAACGCGGCTTGGGACACTTCTAGCCGGTGTGGGGACCCCAAAGACTAGCATGGGGCGCTCCTGACCATAATTGGACATCCCGGATGATTCTACATCAGTGTTCGTTTCCCGATCACTGGCTTTCAGGAGAAAATGTATTGGATGGTGCGACGGGCCCCTTGTACGGATTTTGGGGGTGCAAAAAGATATGTTTGCACCCCCATGTTTTTCGATGGGGGTGCAGCTGCACCCCCTGCACCCCCTATTCCGCCGCCACTAATCCAGACAACCGATCAACGTGCATTTTAAAAGGCTTTTGTTCCAGGACATCTTAGCTGCACAAAGTACCTTTGATAGCTTGCTATCACTAACATCTCCTCACTGTGATGTGAGTGACTGCTCCGTTATTTTTTCTTGAACTGTTGAGACTACTTCACTGACGGAAAAGTTTGTCAAAGTAATAAAGTGGTGTTTTGACTTCAAAGTATGCAAGTTATTTGTCCGTGGGCCTAGTTTACATCAATGGATGCAGTAATTTTGTGAGTTGTTTGAACGTCGTCAACTGCCATCAGTTAGAAACGCTTTGTTTAATGTCATAACAAGACAGGTATTCATACACTAAAAAATCCGAGCTTAAAAAGGAAGTGTATTGGAAGTGTTTTGAAGGGAAGTCTGGAAAACTGCGCTATCACGTTAGATTTAAATACATCTATTATAATTCTTGATCAAAGTTGCACAGTCACACCGATTAGGTATCATCAACATCTCACCTGAACGCCATCGAGGTCCGTCTCAGGAAAGTCACCATTCCGGTGCTGGAGGACTCCATAGCAGTCATCAGATGGCCTCCGAGCTGCCGCTGGCTCAGTCGCAGGAGGCACCGGCCAGTTGACCACCAGAAGTCGCCGAGTCTCCCACAACCAAAGGTCGCTCAGGTGCGTGCAGACACGCGAGTCAGCGGATATTTCCGTCGTGGTCGTCAGTGTTTTTGCCCTGTTACGACGGCTGACGACATCCGTTGTTTAGTGTCACAGTGCTCCCCAGACAGCGAGAACATTCACTGCACAGCGAATACATCCGATGAAGCTGCGGCGAATTCGGCCCTTCGCCAATGTTTACTAACGTGACGCCGTGGTGACGATCGCACCGCGTCACGTCTTTCCGCCATCGCCACCGTCACATCTCCGTTACGCCGTCACGATCGTCAAAACGCGCTCGCCCGACATCGATGCGGCCTCGCCAAACCGCGGACAACACATGTCCTTCGTCCCAGTCATTCCTGCAGGTCACTCTGGTCCTTCCTACCGTCCACTTTCTTAGAGATTGCCTTCTCAGGAGCGGCCTGGATGGTAACACCACCCCAGCAACAGGCCACCTCCATCGCCGACACAAAACACCAACTATCCATCAGTTTCTTGCAGCACCAGGCGGGCACTCGCAGAGTCCAATCGCTCCTGTTCTCTTTTCGAAAACATTTCCTTACGGTAGCGGACGCTGTCGGATGTGGCGCTGTGCGGTATCTCTGGTAGTGGCGTCAGTTGCGGAGGCGGTTGCGGTGGCGGTGGTGGCAGGGTAGACGGTCGGCTACGCCAGCCAGCTCCAGGCTATCAGCTGCAGGAGGGTGACGAGCAGGGCACCCAGTCGACCCGGCTGGCTGGGGCAGCTGCTCGTCTGCATGGCGGCGGGCTTCTCACCTGCGGGTCAGGGGGTTCAGGTCAGACAGTGGGTCAGAGGAGGTGGACACGTCAGAGGGGCTGTCACCTGCGGCCAGGGGCGCGTACAGGTCGTGAATGAGATACAATAGTTGTAGACCTGCTCGGTGCAGGATGGCGTGGGCTTTGATGAGATTTAGAATGATACGTGCATCATCTTTAAAATATCATAAGAAAATGAATGGAGGAATGAAAGTGAGCAAGCATTGAGCAAGCATTGAGTTCCGAGCCTAAATATTACCAAGGACACAAATGGCAGCTGCCCATGCATGCATACACATATAGCGACGATACGTATTCCAGCGTCCTCATGACACAGATAATGCACGAGGAGCCGCCCGTATGTCATCTTGGCGAGACACTGTGACGCAATATTACTGAGTGCCGGGCGTCTGGCCACTCAGACAAAACGCACTCGTAACCTTGGTTATGTAAGGCATACCGTATAAATTATGCAACTGTCCCAGCAAAAAACTGGCACTGTGTTACACACCACATTTACATTGCATTGCCCCGCGTATGAGACGAAAAGGCTCTCTCCATCAGTAATGCACTCACATAAGAGGTCCTACTGACCACAGACCCACGTCGCTGATCACTATTTATTCGGCAGTGAAAAAAAAACTGATGATTTTGGCTTCTTTTTCTGTGGTATACGAGCAATGACATATTCAAAAGCCAGGGATAGGTATCAATTCACAGCAAGAATAGTTTCAAGAAAAACGTGTCAAAATAAGAATAATTATATTTTCAGATAGGTGTGCTCAAATACTGTGCATTGTATAGACGTCTATACGTGCAGGATACACAGAAACGTCTATATTTTTTTGTACCGGAAGCTTAGAACCTTGCTTTGCAAGCTCAGGATTCATAAATCCTTCTGCGGAGCATCCTGCAGGGTAGGGCTTACACAAGCATCGCCACAACTCTTACAACGTCAGAAAGGGATCAGTTGCTGGCGACGCCAGCTCGATGATAATTATGCGTCTGGTGTTTGACATGCCCCTGAGTGTATGGTCACTTATACCACTCAAACGTCTAGCACATCAGCACGAGGTTCGTTATGACAGCACACGTCATCGCCGGTTCTGGGCACCATCCAAGAGTCCAGCTGCATCTTATGTGGTAAATCGCTCGCTGGTGTTCTATTGAAAATGTGATTTCTTCATAAAATATAATGTTCGTCGAAGCATATTAGCCGTTTTCACGATGGGCTATCTGGTGTTAATATATAATAAATCATTCGAAGTCCCAACCTTCGGGCCGCAGCGCTACTCGAAAGGCGCTGCCCTCGAGTACACATTTTGTAAAGAAAAATATATAAAGTAACAGGCATTGGTGTCCTAACTTTAGCAAACCGTGCAAAAACAGTGTTTGGTTTAGTGTTATTTCAACCTGCAGCGACGCTGGACAGCGGACAGTACACACGTCGGTGCGATGTCGCACCAAATGATGTTTGCTCACACAGGAATACAAGTTTGCACACAATGCAGTGTGGCTGAAAATACTTCTTCACATACAAGTCATTGAGCCAGTGATCGAAAATGTAATTAACATCGACGGAGAACTGTCAACTTCATATAGCGTGGGTAATTTTCCAGCCAAAGTGTTTTGAATAGCAGCAAAGGGAAGCAGTAAAAATGAGTCTCACAACAAGTTTTATTGCCGATAAGTTTTAGCCTCAACACAACTTTGAGCGGAGCTCGATGGCGAAGTAAAGTGAAATAACATCCAGTTGGCCACAACTCCAACGGGCTGCTTCATCGCCGAGCCGGCACGCCCGCTGGGACGGGAATTAGATCCGGCCAAACTAGGCGGCGATACGGTGGTCCAAAATAGCACGCACTGCGGTAGGGACCAAAGTCACTACCACATGAACACAGCTTCGGGCACCGATAGCACGCCAACAACACGACATTTGTGATCTCGGCCAGAGCCAGTGCTGGGGTTGTTACAGTGTTCCCGAGATGGCCTACAATATCACATGGATTACACCGGGGTCGAAGCGGCGCCGCTCAGGCGAGTGATAATGGTTATACTCTAGTCTGGCTCATAAGTCGGCCTGATGAACAGCGGTGGGGCTCCTCGGCACCAGCCGCCGGGGCAGTGGGGTCACAGTCCGGCAGGACGCCTTTCGTGGGACCATCTGCGGACCAGTGGTCAGTGAATGGTCCCATCTGCGGACCAGTGGTCAGTCAATGGTCCCATCTGCGGACCAACGGTCGGTGAATGGTCCCGCCACGGCTGATGCCGCAGCAGAGGGACGACAGAGCACGGAGGCGGGGCAGAGAGCCGACGAATTGGCGCAGAGAGCCGAGAAGAGTAGAGGAAACCACGGAACAGGGCCCCGGAATGCATGTTTAGCCTGCCCACGGCCATCGGTCATCGGGCACAATCGCTCGTCAATCTTGGCTGCCTGTTTTTGTCGAGCATGAGCGTCAGAGTGCGGCGACAAAGCGGCGCTATTGACCACACTCGGACCTCACGATGCGATACAATTAGCCTCCGGGCAGGCCCACGTCAGAGGTCCCGCATAAAGGAGACGGAACGTGATGACCGCTCCCTTATAGACGCTGCATAGACGTGTAGTTTTGTTTTTATTGTTTGAGGGTAAGTCATGCATATAACATATGTAAGTACACATACTAAGTGCTTTATTACTCAGATGCTCGCCAAAAGGAAAGGAAAGTTGTAGGACAGTAGCTGAACGTATAAAATGTTTGTGAAATGTGAACCGACCTAATCCTATAGAGTTATAGACGGATGCCAATCATATCAGATTATATTGCAATATCATGACTTCGTTATTCCCACATAACACATGCTGAATATTAGCTTTATCGCATGCTACTGAGATAATGATAGATTAGCAGGGATAATTCCTAACGAATTATCCCTGCGGTCCCTGAATCCCTGAATTATCCATTATTGAATTTCATCCCTGTGGTCGCCCTCCAACAATTCTACCTCAGCATCAGAAGACGACTTACAAAATGCCTTATTTCACTCCGCGCTGTTTTCAACGTTGTTTTTCTTTACATCCTATTCCTGTTATCTTGCTATTTCCCTTATGGCCTTCTTCTTTCCTTCAACTGTTTTCATTGAAGCCGTTCAAGTTGACCATTATGGCAGGATCGAAGGAAGCCTCACTCCCTCACTTTGACCTGCCAATGTTACAATTATATGTATACGAGTATTCAATATTAGACATTGATCTATAAGTCAGAAGATCCAGCTAGGATCCGGTTTATTCCACTAGAAATTGAGACATGATTTATAGAGGCTAAATTCAGGACGTATATGGTATTGTGCCCAAGATTAGATGATTGAGAGAACCCTGTCATCAGCTCATTGTTCTAATATTAGAAACCAAATGCTTACATTCGAAGATCACATTGCTTTGTACTCGTACTATCATTTTTTGTGCCTTTCGCAGATACTGAACTGCAGTTAAGACAAAGCCAATCCTAATTTACATTTCGAAATCTCTCAAGCCGTCTTTCGAATACATCTGCCTTCAAACCAAAGCGAATTATGCAAACTAGCATGTGCTGGCACTCCACTGGCCTTCGTAATTCCACATTCGGCTAATTCTCTTTCCTACTCTGGCCGCTTCTCTTTGTGGAAAAGCAGTCGTTACTTTGGAAAGCTCTGGCGTCTCGCTTTATATTCTGCAATTTCGTTGTCATGAGAAGTCAGTGAATGCTCATAACCAGGGTGGTGTTTTAGGGTTATTTTGAGTCTGTTTATCAGGGCTGGATGGACTAGGGGACGTCACTGCACTCTACGAGCGCTATCTGGTGAAGGCACGACGGCGGCGACGGCAACGACGACGGCGACGGCGGCGGGCGGCGCCGTCCTGACAGCGGCGGGCGGCGCCGTCCTGACAGCGGCGTGAGAAATGCGTCCGCCGATCAACTCGACCCCCGATCAATGCCTGGCTTTGTGTCCGTCGGCACAGATCTGATTGCTCTTCCCTGCCGCCGCGCCGATGCCGTCGTCGCCGTCGTTCTCGTGGCTGGCCCCACACCGTCGACGGTCGTGGCGCCGAGGCCGTAATCGTGGCGCGGACGAGACAAATGACACGCAGTTTGGCGCAGCGGCGACGAGGCGGCTCTGCGGACGGCCGGAATGCGCCACATCAGTCGCCGGACTTGATATGGACACTGCTGGGTATGATGGGACATTCCACCCAAGCGATGGACGTCCACTGAGACTGAGACAAATGGCAAGAGTTTGGCTCTATATAACTTTGAGTGCATGCGCCGGATTTTCATTGCTTCTCAGAACTCAGCGATGTCACGCATGGCTTATCAATAAAAAACAAACATATGACCAGTGACGGATGGTCCGTGAACGGAAAGCCAATGTCTCAGGTCACCGCGCGACGGTGGGTGGGCCACTGCGGATGTGAGGTCATCTCCCACTGGTCCGCAGTATCCGGCTGAGGGCTGACAGCGCTGGTGACCGGCCAACGGACATATAAAGAACGGGCGAGGTCCGGCCAAACGACAGCGCGTCTCTCCATAACGTCTGCGGACTGCCACCGTACCCCCCCCCCCTAACTTTAGGGGACGGTCTCCAGCGAGACGAAACGGCCCCTCCAGCTGCCACCGGCCGCCCAATGGGCCGGCAAAGTGTTGCGCGTCACACGGTCGAAAGCCACTCATGACTGGCTGATGTCGGCCATTCGGCGCTGAGCGCTGTTCGTTCAGCGCCGTGCGAGAGCGGTGAGCGAAAGTCGCCGGCTTCATGGTCCAACGAGGGTGTAGTTACCCCGTCAGAAACCTGGTTATAGCACGGCTTATTCGAGTCGAGTGCCTTTGAGGCATCATAAGGTGGCGTTCAAAAGATGTTCCATAACTTCTTGGAACGTGGAACGTTCTTGTACGATGTAGATATTACTGCACAGCTGTAGGAAAATATCCTCTCCAAAAAAGGAGCGAAAGTTACGAGCACGCATAAAACCCGTCATCGTGGTTGAAAAGCGGTGTAATCGGGATCCTGAACTTATAGGCTCCGTCGAATCAGATCCACCAATCAACCCGGTCATGGCCGACTAAGTCCTAGGGTAATAGCCTTCATCCATTGAAATCTAAAGCGGCACAAAGCGTAGGAGCCCCCATAGTCCATATCCACCACCACAGCCGCAGGAAATGACTTGGGAATTAAGTAAAATGCAATGCAGTTGCACTACAGAAATAAAGCAATGCCGATTCAACAACTTGGACACTTAATCAGGATGCTTCTGGTCTGGGAACATTCACGATGATGGGTTCGCAGAAACTTGACGCGAAAGTCCATTACGCCCGCATGCATCTAAAATGGGTACCTAACAACTACGCAGTGCGAACTGTGCAGTGTGCACCTTACCGTTCGTTACCTACAATTGCATCGCAGAAAAGTATAAAGAGTTTCAACAGGACAGCTCAAGTGGAATTCCTTTGGAGGTAGCCCGCTGTGTTAGGACCGTGACCGGCATTGAAGCACGTTTAGCCCGTACTGACCTTGTATCGCGTGCAGCCCGTACTGACCTTGTATCAGGTGCAGCCCGTACTGACCTTGTATCAGGGGCAGCCCGTACGGACCTTGTATCACGTGCAGCCCGTACTGACCTTGTATCGCGTGCAGCCCGTACTGACCTTGTATCACGTGCAGCCCGTACTGACCTTGTATCACGTGCAGCCCGTACTGACCTTGTATCACGTGCGGCCCGTACTGACCTTGCGGCACGTGCAGCCATTGGGTTCGAATGGATCACGCGCAGCCCATAATGATCTCACAGCAAGTGCACGCCCGCATTGACCTCATAACACTTGCAGCCGTACTCACCTACCGTACCTACCTGACCAGCCGTACTTGTAGCACGTGCAGCTCACACTGACCTTGCAGCACGTGTACGCGCAGCGACTGCTGTGAGGCTCCGGATGGCTGGCAGCTGTAACGGCCCGAATCGGACGGCCTCGCCCGCTGGATAAGCAGGTAGCTGGCGGTGACGGCCCCTTTGATGGTGACTACAGAGACGCCGCCGCGGCTGGAGTCGTAACTAATCACCTGCGGTCAGAGGGAGGGAGGTCAGGGGTCACGGTCAGACGAGATAGAAGGTGGTCAGTCAGGTCAAAGGTCGAGACAGGCAGTGGAGGTCTGTCAGGTCAAAGGTTGAGACAGGCAGTGGACGTCTGTCAGGTCAGGGACCAAAGGTCAAAGGTCGAAACAGACGATGGAGTTCCGTCAGGTCATAGGGCAGAAATCAGTTAAGACAGACAGACAGACAGACAGACAGACTTAAGAGTTAAGTCTGTCAGATAAGTGAAAAGGAATTTTTCTCGCTAGGAACGTATGTTCTTACGTGATTGTAAACATGATGTGAATCGAAGCAACGGCTGCCGTTTACAATACACGCAGACAAAAGTTCAGAATAAAACACTCAACTAGAGATATTATTTGTGCCAGAGGCTACCTTGTTGCTAATGATATAATTTAAGGGCCTTCTATTTTCTTACGTTGGTTTTATGATCATAATGTACGCGCAAATGCACCCTCTCTCCATTACATTAATGCATATTCACTTGAACTAGTAATTTAGTAATCCTGCACTTAATTTGGCATAAATATTACCTTCACATATTGTATCAGCACTTAGCAATGAAGCATGTGCGACTCCAGTATGGCAATGAATTATCGCTGGAGCGTCGAATAATGAGGCCAGCTGTTGCACTTGCTTTACTTTGTTCAGAGGGCAGGAGTGAGGTTACCCGAGGCAGAGGGTGGGGGCGAGAGGTCACCCGAGGCAGAGGATAGGGGAACAGGTCAACCGAGGCAAAGTGTAGAGCCTAGAGGTCTCGAGGCAGAGGGCAGAGGTCAGCCAGGCCAGAGCTGAAGACAGACGCCACTGTATCACATCAGGGGTCAGAACAAAGGTCAATCGGCCAGAGCGGGAAGTTGCGTGCCGCTGGCCGACCGGCTGCAGCGGCACAGGTAGCGTGCAATTACCCGAGTTACCCGTGCCACCCGTGACCTCTGTCAGCACAAAGGTCACGCCGTCAGGACCACGCCACCATTAGCTCGTCCCGTGTCGATTAGGTGTCATAATCGGAGTATTGCGAGCAGTCGTTTCCGCGTCAGAAAGGACAGAAAGGTGACGGATATCTGCTCAGAGACAGGTTTACGTAAGAAGCGAAGAACCGACTTGGAATGTTTCGACATTGAATGCTCTTCGCATGTGTCATGTGGGCGAATCCAAGGCTATATATAAGCGCGAATCAACTAGCGAGTCGGAACGTTTAGAGGATATTCACCATATAATATACCTGCACTAAGCGAAAGTTTAATAAGATGGTTTCATATGCTGCTGTTCGTTGTCATCTGGCACAGCTGCCGGACTGTGAGAGGGGTCGTTGGCCCAGCCATGAGCCGGTGGGATGGCGGAACAGCTGCGCCAAAATGTCCTGGAGACAGAGGGAATCTTCAAACCGTTCCGTCACTCCGACTATTTCTCGTCGAAACTGCACCCAGCTACACAAAGTTTAAACATTCAGTTTATGGCGCTGTATAACTTTCCATATCTGCTCGCAACCCAGTACAGTCCGTAGTCCGTGTATTACATTACAAACTATATTTGAAGCTTCATTTATGATGAATTGTTTTAGAAACAGATTTAACATAGCATCATGTTTCATGTCCTTTGTGCGCCTACATACCACGCATTCACCAAAAAGATCTTATCAGTTCTACATCAAAACGTTCCCATGTGATCAAAAGTTCCGGGCTTACCTTCATTAGATCAAAAATTTAATATACTAGTACATATACATGTCTTTCTGGGCCTGAAAAAATGAATAAACCCCACCGAAATATTTTGACAGCACTACACGTTTCTGATTCAAAACATAAATAGTACTTTTGTTTTGTATAAGTGCACATCTCGGCAACTTTGGTAAAACGATCAAAAGTAATTCACTAACACTTCAGAGTGTCAAAAGGGTACAAAGATTGTGAGCATTAGAACATGAAGAACGGGATAAGGATAAAAACGATGTGAATGCACAGCTAAGCAGCTCGCCATATTTAGGCAGGGCAGCGCCGTGTCTTGGACGGTACGCGCTGAATGATTCATGGCCACATCCATGCACGTCCGACACGGATGTCGCTGAGATGGAGGAACGACTCGGTCCGGAAGCACACTGCCGATGGGCGGTGGCATTATGGAGAGTGGCGCAGGTCTGGGGATCGGGTGGCAGGCAGCGAGCGGGCGATGCCGGCTGACTGAAAGGGTTAGAAGGGTGCCCGGGAGGGTGAGGGTGTGAATAGCGAGGGTTAATTCCAGAAGTCTGCTATAAAAATGAAAACATAATCATAAGTCATAGATTGGTCACTGATAATGGCGAGCCTTTGCCTTTCAAATGCATACTTGAGTAATACTTTTAAACGCATTGTTTCAATGCAACTATGATACACCACTTGTAGTATGATACTTGTAATGCGCTTGCATTATGATCCCACAATCCTCATGAGTAGGTAGTTGCAAATATTGAAAAATCAGTCATATTTTATGTAGCACTTTCACCTTTTCCTCTAGGTCAGAAATAAAGCAGCGCGAACAGGTCCTTTTTTACCCCAGAATCTCTACATATGATATTGCAAGAAAATCAAGAACAAAATTCCAAGTTCTTTGTAGAACATTTGCCAAGCAGAGTAAGTACATAATGAACATATATCATTCACAAATTAATCCACAGGACTCGGAACTCGACCAAGTAGGTGAGCACCGAGTAATGAAATGCACTTGTGCGCCAACGGACCCTCGGCCGCATTCCGTCGCTGACATGTCATGGGCGGCATTCATTCCGGCCTGCCGGATCCATTAAGTGCTCCTTACGCCGCGACGATTCCGACAGAAATCCAGCACGAACGGCCAGGTCCGACAAACGCAGCCGTTCCTTGAAAGCTGCCGCGTGACAGGTGCACTTTGCGGTGCTCGGGAAGTCGCCCGCTACCGGAGCGCGTCGGCCCGTGTTAGGTCGGTTAGTGTTATGGCAGGTATGTCGGGTCAGGTCGCGACAGAGTGTGGCAGGTAAAATTATATTGTGTTGGTGCAGTTCTGGTTTGCTTATAGGTACTTGTATGGATACAAGTACATGCATATTGCATATGCGTAGGGTTCCGGGTTACTTATGTTAGGTCGTGTCGTGGTGTATGTCGTTCGAGGTAAAGAGGTCATGGCAGGTCAAGTAAGCCTATGGTCAAGTAAGTAAAAGGTCATGGCAGGTCAAGTAAGGTCAGGTCAGTTTCTTAGTCCCCTCCCCCCGCCCCCGGCGAGGCTACGTGCCGCCAATCTCCCCTTACACCAGCCTTCAGCCACTCCTGGTGGCCGGCCGGTGGCGGGAAATTGCCAACACACTCGCGCATACCAACGCCGGAGGGTAATTGGACGGTACAGAGGAGCCGGGTGGCGACAGTGTTACCGGTGGGACAGAGCAAACAGACGTGCTGGTCCTGGTATGTCGCCAGAATGCGTCAATGACAGCATATTGATCCATGTGTGGGAGTCAGGGTGGCATCGGAAATAGTATTGTCGATAGGTGGGTTGATTCGATCGTCGAACAAATTTATTTAGAAGGCAGTTACTTTGGCAGAAAAAGACGAAATATAAAAATATGATTAGTAGGAAAGAGACACCAACAAACTGTCTCTCATGCAACGTGTTTCATTTGTGGTTCAACTGCTCCATTGAGGCTGGATATAATTTGTTTGATATATAACAGCATAGGGGCTTCAGTAACAAATGACATTCATTACATTCTTATTTTTACATACCGTATAACAATTTCGTGGAGATTCATATTCATGAAAATATAGTTTAAAACAGACAAATGCTGCGTCGTCAGAAGGAGTAATGTCATGGAGAGCGTTTTGGTCAGACTCGCGGCTGTCAACGGCGACATATCTCATTTCTCTGCGAGATGACCAGAACAGCCCTCAGCACTATTCAGACGGCGCAAACGACACGTATTTGTCAACGGAAACGTACTCAGCAGTTTGCAGAGCCAGCCACCATTCCATGTGGTTGGAGAAGTTTTTTAAAATTCATTTAGATTGGGCACGACTTCTCTATATATAGATAAGTCTGTGGATTGGGGTATACATACGATATGCGTTGCGTTGCGAAACTGCGGCGTTCACTATTGTCGCCAGCATGTTTGGAAATTAACAACATGAGAAATGCATGTTGCATACAGTTGCAGGAGGCCTATTAACCTTACATTAAAGGCTAATGCATTCGAATATTAAGCAAGACATTCCCTTGATATATGTAGTTAGGATTTTAAATGACCTTTTCCTCGATAATTAATTGGAAATTCAATAAAAAGTAAATATTATATTGTTTGGCAAATTTTCGAACAACAGTTCATTCTCAAGCCACATGAAACATTGTCATTGTCAATTGTTTCATGTGGCTTGAGAAAGAACTGTTGTTCGAAAATTTGCCAAACAATATAATATTTACTTTTTATTGATTTTCCAATTAATTATCGAGGAAAAGGTCATTTAAAATCCTAACTACATATATCAAGATGTTCCTCGCTAGAGCACTGCATACTATTTTTTCATAAGACATTCCCTTGTCTTGTCTTAGCTGCATTAACGTCTCTCCGTACCATTGCGTGGAATTGTCCATAAACAAGATCATCGTTTGATGAAGCACTCATTCTCCGCTCAGTTGCTGGGCCCAGAGGCCATCAATTTCACCGCTTTCATTTGTGTTTGAGCCATAAAAGATTGTGTGCGAGTTGCATGATGAATGGCTCACCAAATTGTAATCCGATGTACTACAAATGACTGTAAAGAGCGGGTGAACGAAAATCCAGCCATGATGTTCTGACGTGCTAAAAGCCATTACCAGTTTGACGCGTGAACCAGCCTAGCTAGAACCCCTGAAAATTGGATCAATATGCGACATTCTTCAGAGCATTTGCAAGAAGTGTATTTACTAGTCCTTTAATTAAAAAGAACAGATACCGGCCTTTGTAATCCTTGTCGATTATGTAGTCTGT